GAGATTTTACCACTCACTCACCCTTCACCTCTCTCTCTTCTCTCTCTCTCTCTCTCTCTCTCTCTCTCTCTCTCTCTCTCTCTCTCTCTCTCTCTCTCTCTCTCTCTCTCTCTAGTCGGCAGTAATTTTAAAGAATACGTCCCAAAAAGAAAAACAGGCGCTAAAGTCTTGTGAAAAAAATATCAGTTTAGATTCCCGGGACGTTATTCCGGGGGATCAACGCCCCCGGGGCCCCGGCCATGCCCGGCCCCCCGATGGATCGGGCCTGCCCCCCCCGTTACTCCCCCCCCCCCCCCCCCCCCCGGCTTTAGGCTGCCCAGCTTCTCTTGAAAGGGAGCCAGGGGGTTTTTTGGCAATTCCCCCAATGCTTTATGGGAGGCTGTTGAACAGTTTTTGGGCCCGGACACTTTGGTGTTTTCCCCCTTTGTGTACCCAAAGGCGCCCCTACTTTTTTTTGGGGGGGATTTTGCTCGCTGCCAGTTTTTTATTTCGTAGGGAGTGATTTTGGTGCAGATTTGGGACCATTCCTTCCAAGTTTTCCAAGTGTAATTAGAATATCTCCCCCTCCTCCCATTCCAAGATTTACAAGTAAGTGCTTTCCAGCTTTCCCCAGTATTTAAAGGGTTGACAGAACTTATACGGCAATAAAGGATCTGTCCTCTTAGTCTGCGATTTCACCTGGTTTGAATGGAGTTTTTTAATTACAGCAGTATTCCAGCCTAGAGAAAAAAGTGTTTTAAAAAAGGATCACGGGGCTTGGTTCTTCTTTTTGAAAGTTCTCATTACCCTCCTATCATTTTCTTGCACGTGCGATCTGGCAGTTGTGATCCTTAAAAAGTGAGATCCTCAAAATTTAAACTCCAGGCCCTTTACTTTTTTTCCGCTCTTTGTATGGCCGGGGGTCGTAGTATACTCGTTCTAGTTTTTATCTCCTCCTTTTCCTAACGGAGGTATTTGGGAAATTTGTCCCTTTTAAAACATCTATTGTTTACCGTTGCCCACGGGAAAAAAACTTTGTTTATACTTTTGGGGTTTAACCGCGCCCCTCGCAATGACGCCTAGCGATCCAGTTCATCCGCAAAGGATAACGGTGCTGGGGTTTTATATTTATGTCTGAATGAGGAAAGGAATAAATGGGGGGGAGTACGTGCCTTGGGGAACAGATCTCACTAGGCAGCCCCCTTTTTAAACTTTTTGGGCCACTATCTTTGTGTTCGTTTGTTGGGAAGTTAAAGATCCTCCCCCCATTTTCCCCAGTTATTCCTTTAGCACGTATTTTATGGGTATTACCCCAGATCGCATTTGTAAATGTTTTTTGCAAAAGTCTTGTATTTTACATCTGCTTCTGATTTTCTTCCATGCTCCAAGGCCATGTCATAGTGACCCAGTGTTTGAGAGGGGAGCGACCGCCCGAACCCATTTTCCCCCGGGATTGTGCAGTTTTTGGGAACCCGGGTGATTTGCAACCCCCTTTCTTAGCACTTTTCCCAAAGTTTTTTTGATGTGGGACGTCAGAGCTTTTGGTTATAGTTCTTAGAATCTTTGCTCCCACCTTTTGGGGGGGGCTTTATCCGTTGTTTTAAGTGACGGGAATTTCACCCATGCCCAAAGCTCCCCCTCCATAGGTACTTGGGGCACGGAGGGGGTTTCTTGCAGTTTTTAAGAAAACAGATTTTCCACGAGTTGGGCCCGGGGCAGAGTGCATAGGCTGTTGCAAGGCTTTTCAAAAATTATCGGAGTTGGGTAATGTGGGAAAATCTGGCATACATTTATGGAGTTTTGGGGCTCAATTCAGAAAAAAATTTTGGGCGTCGTCCTAAACCAAATTAGTGGTTCACTAAAACAGAGTCGTACGGGGGATTTCAATATTTCATATTTCCTTGTTGTCCCCCGGGTTAAACCCCCACCCTGTCTGAGAAAGGGGGCCCGATACTATTGTGGTATTTGCCTTTTTTTTTTGGCTATGAAAGAAATATTTTGAATTTCTTTCAATTTCACTATGTTTTAAAGCTCCTCCTGCCTCTCCGGGTTCCCCTGTAAAGTCATTTAACTTAAGTTCGATTTTTCCCACTTCCCGGGTCAGCGCCCCCTTTTGTGTATCGATTCAAGCACTGGGGAGCTCAGTGCCCTTTCGTCGTCTTCTGTAGGGGGAGCGTTTTTCTCCGTTTATCCTGCTCTTCTTCTTTCTTAGGGGAATATCTTCTTTTTGGGACAGGGTTTAAACGGTCCCATTTGTGTTCTTGTTGTTGAAGTTTTTTTTTGTGAAGACACCTTCACAGGTACATGTTTTGTGATCGGGACCCCTATGCATGTACGTCTGGACTTCGTTTGGGTTTGTTTTTTTAAAATTATTGTTTTTGATATTCTTATGTTTTTCGGGGTCCTCATTTTTGTGAAGAAAAGGTCAAGTGTGTTTTTAGTTTTGTTGGCCCCACATTGCTGTTTAAGGTGAGTTTTCGCAGATTTAAGGTCATGGTGGTGCCTTTTTCATCTGCGACCTCCGGGGATTGTTTCAGCTAAAACTTTATTTGCTACATTTTTCCATTTTGTATGCCTTGGTTGAAATCCCAAGCAAAAGATGTTTGGGGATGGAGGGAAAGGTTTTCCAAACGTAATCATTTTCAGTGCTTTTCCCTTAAACTTTTGTGAGGTTGCATTGGTGGTTGTATACAACACAATGACTAGGTTTTGGGTTTTCGATCTTTATTGATAGAACTTCAACTACCTCATTTGTGGGTTCGAACTTCGTGCAGAAAGGGACTCTGACATACAGGCCCAACCCCCCTTGTTTTTGTTTTTTTTGTCGATCTAAAAAGGGTTTTTAACACTTATCCATATTTCACTGTAAGTGATCTTTTGTGTAGTCTCGTGAAGGCTGCAAAAATGCATTGATCCCCTAGAAGCCCCTATAAAAGGGTTTTTTTTTGTTGGTGGTGGCTTTTGGCCCCGTATTAGCAAAAATGAACGAGGGTTGTATTTTGGTTTGTTTGGGGGGTTTTGTTATTGGGTCAGTAGTTGTAATTCGGAGGGCATGGGGGGCCACTGGGTGCGCCTCCCCGTCCCCAAAAAGGCTCCCAGGTGGACTATTTTTATTCCCCTTTCCCTTTTCTTTTTCCGTTTTGCACTAAAAAATCACCTGGGTTGGGTTGTCGTATACTATTGTTTGTTTTGGGTTTTGTGCCTCTTGGTCCCCTTTTGATGGTATGAGGGGCCCGTCGATGTTGTAACATGCTTCGGAGGACCGAGGAGTGGGACATTTTTGGGTGAAAGAAAGTAAGGGGAAGAACACACACTCCTTTGAAGGGGGCGCACTTTTTTGGGATGTCAAAAATTGATGTCCCATTTTTTTTCCCCGTTTTCCACGCTACGATGCCCCAAGCATAAAATTGACAAATTTACCTTTGGTTTAGATTGTTGGGGGGTGTGTTGCAATTTCTGCAGGGTTTGGGACTGCCTTAATCTCAGTATCCCAAGCCAGGGCCACCCGTCCTGGATTCCCTCTACTTCCCAGTAGGGAAGAAGGAGGAGACCCTCTCCAACATCTGTACGCTGATCTGAGTATTAAAAAACCCCCATGGGGGCTTTTGGCCCAAATGCCGAGGCCTTCAGCTGGAACCCGTCCACCCTTTAAAAAAAAATCAGAGGGATAAACAAAATATATCAAAGGTGATAATATCAACCAGTGGGTGTTACCCCCATTTTTTTTTAAATAATAAAATTTATGCAAATTGGAAGTTACCGATTAAGTAAAAATGGAAACACGTGTGTTGTTTGTAGATCCTTTTTAAAACTTGACTAACCTATTTAGTGGAAAGATGTGGATAAAAGGCAAAAACGTCGTATAATGTTTAATATAAATTAACCCCCCCATTGAAAAGAGAGAAAAAGGTATATATTCTTAGTATATTTTTATCTAAAAAAAAATTTTACGAATGAACTCATTCTCTACTGAAATGTAAAAAAGTCAGTTGACAGATTTCAACACGCATTAACAGGCCCTTTGTGAGGAATGTGACAGGGCGATTGACTAGCATTCG